AGTTCCTGGAATTCATTTGAATGTTTGAAGTAGAGAAAGTTTAGGGAAATGTTTGCATTACTCACACTGGTGCTGTCCTTCAAAAAAGATGGGGGTTTCCCACACTTTCCAGTCCAACATACCCTTTGTACTCTGCCAGGATTATGTAGGAGTGGGGAATATGACTGCCCCATCCAGCTGTCTGGCCAACTCTATCTCCCATGCTGATACACATGAATCCAATTACATATGTTGACACATACAGTAACCTTGGATCAATCCAGAATACCATTTAGATGGAAATGCTAGTTTGATGAAAAGGGACTATAGCAACTCATTTCAAATCTGCCTTGTGTTCAGGCAATAGTTACAACTCTCAGCAGCTTCCTGTCGGTCAAAATATGTGATTTAAACATTCTATTGTATGCTAGATGTGTTTCCTGTTTTACAATGCCAACTTTAATACAGCCTTCCTGCCCTTTCTTAGGGAGCAGGTGATTCAGAAAGTTACTCTGATTCCCCTCTTTAGATGGTATACCCCTACTATTCTTTCCTCCCCCTACCCCATAAATGGATCCCCTCCCCGCCATGGGATAATTTTTCAACCTATAGACATGCTATAAATTTTCTTTTCCTCAGGCCTTAAGGCAGCTTCTTAGAGCAATGTGCCTAGTATCCACCTGTCCTCTTCTCTCTCTCCTGGACATGGGAAGGGCCTGATGCCCTTTAGAGGGCAGTTTTGTAGTAAGAAACACAACTTTCAGCCACCAAATGCCATTCTGCATATACATAAATATGTTGCTTATACAATCACATAATTTCTCTCCTAAACACCTTGCACATTCCCCTAGATAGGGAGCAAGACAGCCACATTTTAGGAACAGAAACAATCTCTTCCTCCACTCACTAAGTTATGACCATGCCCAATTCAGGGTGGTTTTTGCTGCTGACATGGTGGAGGGCCAAAGAAATGCCACTCCCAACAGGGGCAGTACAACCCTGCTCTAATGTCACTCTGAAATGGGAGCCATGTAGGGATAACCTGTAAATCCAGGCTGATGTTGCCTGGGCCCTAGTGTGAATGACTTTCCCCAACTAGACCTAACTTGTATGCCCCTCACAATGCTTAGCTCAGAGTAGACTGTTAATCTGTGTTACAAAATTATACTATATTCATTCTGTAACCAAGCACAGTGCCATGCCTCGGGGGGTACAGGCACTCAATAAATATTGATGGATCGTGTTGAGCCTGACATTTGGGAGGAAAAGGCCAAAATGGAAAAGATGAAATGACGGCTTGCTAAAGACTCTCAAAATAACTAGGCATGTGGTGGCTCTAGTAGTGGTTTTTAGATTGTCCTGTGGGACCTGGCATTCTGTTGGAACTGATCCAAGTTTCCATAAACATTTGATTCAAAAAAAGTGTGTGGTTTAAATGTATAATATCTATAAACTGTATTAAAAATGAAAAAACACCTAACAGAAACACCTCATGTGTTACATTCTGAATAGCAATTGAAGACCATCAATGGGTTAGCAGAGCCTTTGGATTGACTTATTTCTGTTGAAATCTCAGGAGGAATGCTTCTCTTGCCTGAACTTCTTATAGGCCTTCTCAGGTCTCTCTCGGGAGGTTGAATGCACCAGAATTTTACAATTTAGGCCCTATACATACATACCCACTCTCATAAAACAACACAAGTGAAATATCACCTCTTCTCTACAAATCAGGACCTTCTTGCTGTTGTACAGCCAAAACAGGATCTCTCTATATAAAAGCCTAAGTGACTGGCTGACCATCCGGTAGCTATGACACACAATGACCACCAGGGAGCAGACACTCAACGCACAGGCATAGAAACATGGAACAGACTGAAGAATCTCAGAGGGAAGGGGAGAGGGTGGGAAGAGATTAACCAAAGATCTTATATGCATTCTAGAGGCCCGGTGCACGGATTCGTGCACTGGTGGAGTCCCTTGGCCTGGCCTGCAGAAATTGGGCTGAAACCAGCTCTCTGACATCCCCCGGATTGCGAGAGGGCAGAGACCAGGTCGAGGGACCCCACCAGTACAGAAATCTGTGCACCGGGCCTCTAGTACAGAAATAAGTGGAGACTATAACTGCAATTGTCATCAATTATCCCCAATTGCAATTTTTTATAGTCATTAAAATAGTGTCATCATTTCATTAACTTTATAAGTAACTATAGGCCAAGTACATGAAATTCATGCATGGGGGGGGGTCCCCTCAGCTCAGCCTGCACCCTCTCCAATCCGGGACCCCTCGGGGGATGTCCGACTGCCAGTTTAGGCCTGGGGATCAGGCCTAAACAGGCACTTGGACATCCTTCTCACAATCCTGGACTGTTGGCTCCTAATCACTCACCTGCCTGCCTGCCTGATTGCCCCTCGCTGCCCACCCCTGCCAGCCTAATTATCCCCAACTGCCCCCCCGCTGGCCTGGTCACCCCTAACTTCCCCCCACGCCGGCCTGGTTGCCTCTTACTGCCCATCCTGCTGACTGGTTGCCCCCAACTGCCCCCCCTGCTGGCCTGGTCACCCCCAACTGTCCCCCTTGCTGGCCTGGTTGCCCCTCACAGCCCCCCCGCCAGCCTGGTTACCCATACAGCCCACTGCTCACTCGTTTGGTCATCCCTCACTACCCCCCCTGCTGGCCTGGTCACCCCATGCAGCCTGCTTGTTCAGTTGTTTGGTTGTCCCTCACTAACCCCCCCTGCCGGCCTGGTCATAGACAGCTACCTTGTGAGGGCATGATGGTCAATTTGCATATTACTGCATTATTATATAGGATTGTTATATGTTTGCACTTTATAACAATGAGATACTGCATTTAATCTAATATTTTTAACATATTGAAGGGCCAGCTAAGATTTTGATTAAAAAAGCAAAGAGGTTCTTTCACCATGGAGGGAGACTAAAGGCTGAACAAACTACCAGACCCCTGTGACTTGCCTGAGACTGTTTAAAATGGGAGCATGGGCTCAAGGACTCCAGGGCAGGCAGTGACCACAGAGGCATGTAATGCAGCCACTTTCCAACTGCCCAGTGCGTGCTCCAGACTTAGTGCATCCTACATCTAACCTCTCTCGAACTAATGCGATCATCTGTCATGATGGAAATCAACAATTGCATGCCCCCCACCAGCCCTCTGGGTCAGTCCATTTATACAATTTAAGATGCACAGTCAATACACTATGAACATAATGTATTAAAAGTCATTTTAAACACAGTTATACTAGTAATTAAGTTCTTGGGAGGAGATCAGCTGGCTTCAAACAGTGCTTATGACTCAAGGCAGTTTCCTCTGATTCTTGAAAGATTTCTTTCAACATGCTTGGGGTTTGGAAAAGGAGATTGAACCATGGGCCACAGGATCACGGAAGGCTTTTTAATGTAGTGGACAAAGTAGTATGCCCAAGCCTGCTTCAGTTGTATCCTCCCACTAAATTATTCCCCCTGCAAGTGAAAAACCTGGGTGGGAAGCCATTAGAGCTTACTTAGCCAAAATCCACACTTGTCTCAGCTCATGCAGTCAGAGATGCACAGGGTGAGAAAAGCCATTCTCTGAATGGGCTGTCATTCACTGATTCTCTTGACTGGTAGCTCTGAATCCAGGTGTGATATCCTCACAGCATACTTTCCCCAGCTCACACTGATAGCACCTTTTGGATATGGTAGTATTTTCCATCAATAGAGAGCCACCGTCTCATCCCTCACAGCCCTGCTTGTTCTCTGAAGCAGTGAGCTATTTAAAAGGTGCCTAGTAGGGCATGAAATCTAAAGAGGAAATGCTGAAACTCTGGGAAGAATTTAGATAGGTACAGTGTGATTACTGAAGTTGAAATCTGTTCAGACCATTGAGTTAACCACTAATGCTATAAAAATGAATGCTGTGGACTCATTAAATTACTTCATTCTACCTGAACCTATTAATATTGTCTAAATCATTTTTAAAATCCCATGTACCATTAAACATGAATGATCAAACTGGGTAAACCTTGAGCAGATGGCGGCCTTAATGGAGCACTATTCAAACCACAATCGTACTCTAGAATCTGAGATGGCTGGTTTTAGTTACTATGATTGACATAAGCACGTGTCATAAAATTCCCATGTGTCATCAAATTCACATAGGAAACGGGGCATTGGGGCAATGTAACAGAAAATTGCCCTGCATATATTCACTAGCAATTAATCCTGAAATATTCATGATGAAACTGAGACAGCGAATGATTTAGAAAAGGCAAAAGTATTTCAACAATGTCCTTGGTAGCCTTTCCAGAGAGAGAAAAGGCAACAGCTGATAGTGGTAGCCCAGCAAGAGATTCTGTTCTTGCTGCAGACTCTTCTCTGGCCCTTGAAAGTCAGGAGCACCAGTTGCCCTGCCATATGTTGACGTTTCCCAAGCCCAAGTTGTGAATAGAGTTAATCTCATCCCACTCTGGAAATGAAAAAGTAACAGATAATGAGTTTAACTCTGTGGTATGCCTATTGTGTGTATGAATGTGTACCAGCTCCGAGTGGCCATATTTTGGGTATTTTCAGATTCTGACCTGTAGTGAGAAAATGGCAAAGCCTTGATGGCAAAAGAAAGGCTTCCCACCTCGTCAGATGGTTTCACTGAATGGCACTGAACCAGCTTACAAAGGGGAAACACTGATTTGGAAGAAATTTGGAGTGGGTTTAAGCATAGCTAAGCTGTCCCAGAAATTCAAGTTGGATGCTTGTCTCAGATCCGTGAGCAGCATAGACCATCCAGTAAAGGCTAGACTAGCTCACCAAGCCAGGATTCAGGACTAGGCAAGATGAAAAAGGCAAATGATATGGTAGGGAACAGCTGAAGGCAGATGAGGTATTCCAAGTGCTAGTTTGGAAATAAATCAATGCCAGTTCCAAAGTATATTATTTCAAAGTCTTCCACTGTGAGTGTTTTAGTAAGAAGTACCCATGAGACCAATATCCAATGAGGCAGGTTAAAGAAAGAGACAACAAATGGTAACTCAGTTTTAACATTTTATTGGGTAAATGAGTTTAAAGGTAATAACAATAGTGTCAAAACTACTACAATATCTTTCCACAGCCATACCTTACAGACCCACATAAACCTTCTCATTTTATTTTGCTCTTTTATATTTTAAAGCCAAACATGTCATATAAAATGCCCATTTCCAATAGTTTCTTCAAACTACTAAGCAATTAAATGTGGAAGGAAGGAGGATCTAGTTATACTTGAAGGGATTTCAGGTAATCTCTGATGTCTTACTGTAATCAAAAACAGGTTCCTAAGAAAGAAGGAAAAGACAAGCTACACCAGGTAGCTTTTGCTCATTACAAGTCTCACTATGACATCACCAAAAACTCATTATGCTGGTGACCGATTCAAAGTGATTTCGGGGAACATATAAAACACTAAAATAACTTAGAAACTAGATCCAAATATTTCAAAAGTAATCAACTTTGATATACAAAAACAGTCAGAGGTGGTTACAAAAGTGTTTTCTCAGTGCGTCTATGTACCAGCGCAGTTACTGGGTCCAGAGCAAAATAAAAGGTTTATTTTCTTCTGAAACAGTAATAAAAAACAAGGAAAACGTATCTTTGTATATAAAGGATCAATGCTGGTCTTAAGAATAATGTAATCAGAAACCCTTAAATCGAGAGGCACACAACAGGTTTCCGTTTTTAAAAAATAAAAGGAAAGTCACCAGTTTATTTAAATGGAGGAGGTTCTCACACCCCCAAATAAACTTAATTCAATTTAATATCACTAGCAAAAATCACTTAGAAACTGTACAAAAATAAAAAAGTTAACACATTTAATCCTGCAAGGTTTTTGTAAGGACTGGAAGGCAGGCTTTTGGAGCAGCATTTGGGCATGGCTGGGGGCTTCTTTGGTTTGATCTAACACACATAAGAGATGGAACCTATTCCAGATGACAGTTTCAAATTTCCTGCACATTTGAAGACATGAAAAGAGGCCAGTACACAAACTTCTGGTGTGCTGGGTATTGGGACTGAATGCATGGGACTGAAAGTCTTATAATTCTTTAAGTGGGGTGGGGGGGGGGGGAGAACAAGCCTTGCACTTCCTCCATCAATCACACCAACCTCTTATGGTAGGGGAGACTAGAATGGGTAGTAGCACATTCTCGTGCAGTCAGAAGGCCACTTAATGAGGGGGGAGAAATTGTTCTTTTAGAATCTGGTACCTGGCTGACCTTGTTTAAGGACAAGAAAATCCTTCCAGAAATGGAAGCCTTTCGCTACATACCAAAGTAAAATGCGTACGATTTTCCAAGAGGAAAAATACCCAGTTGCATTTGAAAATGGAAAACATAAATGGAACTAATTAACATTTAAAAGGGGGTCTATGTAAACTTTGTGCTACTCAAATGAAGTTCAAGTATTATGTCTGAGCTGTTTAAAGATCACTGAATTTATACAATATACTGGTGATGAGTGCAATTCACATTTGTGTTTCTGAACAAATAAACCACAACTGGCTAAGAACACAACCTGTGCAATTAGAATCTTTGTCAGAGTTAAAAACACATGCTACATATTTCAACATGTTCAAAGTTAATTCAAACCACATATTTAACATTTTGTTATATACGACAAAGGTGAAAGGGTCTAGCATTTGTTTCTTTGAAGCACGCCATTACAGTTTGTAGAACACCCTTTACACAACAAAGTCTTGAGACAAAACGGCACTGTGCATTAATCTGAATACAAAAGGAGACAAAACTATCCTTTCCCCCCAAGCCATGGTGGGAAATATTGCTGTCCGAGTCCTCTGAAGCCTGCAGGATGGTTATTTCTTCAGTATAACATTATTACACTGGTAAGAAAATCTGTATAACATCTGCATATATCAAGAAATTTAAAAAATCTGATATGATTTTAGAGTCCGCATGACCAGTCACGTGACCTGCTCAAGATTGATTAGCACCGTTAAATACATAAACACACACATATGTATGTATGTATAAGTATATGTATACATACAAATATGTATGTATAGATCTTTTCTTTAGAAAAAACTTCTAACCATGAGCTCAATCAGGATGAGGAGCCTGTTGAACTGATGAGATGATGGATAAGATGGATCAATATTGGTCTCTTTTGTCTCTCCTCAGTTTGTTTTATTTACTTTTTTGCAGCAGACAATATCATTCAGCTTGTGCTCAGTTTCCCTATAAGGGCAAGAAAAAGTTTCCATCAGGTAGCCACTTGTTTTTATACTGAAAGACTAATCTGCTCCAAAATGCTCCCAAGTAGAAATGAAAGGACTCAAAATCCTGTTCTAAAACCCAACAGCTAGCGTTGTCTGACTAAATCTCTAGGTTCAATGGAACTGGCTACCGAGATTGCATTTCAGGCCAACAATTGGCTTCTTAGTTAAGGCATCGCAACTGAAAATGGTTGTTTCAACAATAGATGCTATGGATGAAGGAATACCAACAAACTTCTAAGAACTCTCATCAAAAACTAAAACAGTTTGATTTGCCACAATGAATTTAGCCAATTATCTCACAAACTAGAAAAGGGTTTTTGAATTCTGAACTAGCAGTTGTCACTTGTCACAGCAACTATATGTATAAGCTATACCATTTGATATTCAGCGAACTATATATTTTGCACCATACTTAAATTCATCACTTGATTTATTGGTTTCCTATTTTATCCTATTTTAAAAAAATATTAACACACACACACACACACACACACACACACACACAGTTTCTACCATAAAAATGAAGGTAATCTTTCTCCAAAATCCTCTGTCATTTTTCCTGGGGATATACACACGGACCTCCTATTGACATTAGGAATTCTCTTTGTATGTATCGTGGGAAGAGAAGCCTTGCAAATGATCTCGCTCTAACAACTACATCGCTTCTAAATGCCAACTCCATTTTTACAGCTGTAACATAACATCAACATAGCAAATGTGTTTCTATCAAAAGTATGTAGTGCAGAAAGAGATTCAAGCTATTTTGTAGTATATCTAAAACTCCAGTATTGTCCCCATTACAAATGTCTGAAATCATGGCATATATGAACTTTTGTTTCACTAGATTATCTTTACCATTTCTTTAAATGGTAGCTAAAATTGTCTCTGGCCAATCATGACTTATTGAAACGTAAACCTCACAAATTTAAATTAATACATAATAGACACATGTTTCTTTTTGGTTATTTGCTCAAAATAATTATTTCAGCTTAAAAAAATATTTAAGAGTAAAGAATTTGTCTAATCTGTTGTTTTACAACATAGAAACAATAAAATTTTACAAGAATATTTCTCTAAATTGCCTTTTTTCTACCCCCCTCTTAATTCCACTTAATTATATTCTTCTCAAAGGCACTAAATTCTGTATCTGCTCTCTTCCTGATATTTGCTGCTTTTCACAATGATTCTATAGCATATTTGAAATGTAGCTTGTACTTTCTTAAAACAGTGTTTTAGTTTGTAAGTTGGTTCTATAAAGTGATGAAGCAGTCTCTCCTATGATAACCAACACAATAGGCATAAATGATTTCTCACTCTCTGTGACAAGCCCTATCACGGACCTTCAAATGCTCTATACTAGAACTAAAGTTCATATATTTTAACCATGGGAAAAACATATACTTAAGGAGTGGAGACCCACATACTAAGCTCCATAGCAAAATTAATTTTAGACAAATTCAAGAATAATACACAAATACCTGAATTTCATATGAATTACTCCCAAACTCAGCTATGAAAAATTATCTATATTACTGAGGAAAACTAAAGAAAAAACTAAATAAAATCCTTAAGAACTGTACAATTTCTTCCATCCACAGTCAAAAGAAGAAAAAAGGGAGGAGGGAAGAGAAGCAAGAAAGAATGAAGGAAAGAAGATAGGAAATGAAAGCAAGATAGACAGAAAGATAGAAATCTGATTGACATAGCAAAGCAGAATTCTATATAATATTGTAAGGAAAGAAATCCCTTTCCAAATGATATATGCTGCAAAAAAAAAAATCAATGACCTAAAATAATAAAACAGGATCTTCTTAACAAATACCATTTTCCTACCCGTTACCATGATGATCTTAATTGACTATGTTGAAGGTTCACCATGGCAACGGAAACTATCATCATAAAATGGTACAGTAAAAGAGATAGCTAGACCAAGAAGGGGCAGGGTCTCCTGGGAAGAGGTCTGCAGAGAGGCCCAGTGACTGGTTGTGCGGCTCAGTGTCAGGAATAATGGTTGTATGGTGGAAGGGGATGCCCAATGCCATTTTGGAAATGATGATGCTGGCGATGAGCAAGGTATTCAGCATAACTCAGGGTCATCTTTTCACTACGGTACCTGAAAGAAATTCAGGGAAGAGACAAAGTTAACATCCAGAAATAGGTGACATGACAGTATCAGAGCTAGGAGGGACCTTGGAGATAATTTTACAGGCCAGGAAACAGACCCAGAGAGGAGCGGTGACTTGCCCAGTGTCACACAGCTAATAAGTAGCAAAGCTGAGATCAGAACCCAGGAATCCAGAATCTGAGTCCAGTGCTCTTTCCAGTCTACTACTGCTTGTTTAAATTGTTCTACAAATTGTACTGCCCTCTGATCCACAATTTGCTAACAGGAAGGAACAGAGGAAAGGCAACCTATAACCATCATGTATGCAACTCACTCGGTTGACTAATTTTTTTTTCTGGGATCATCCTTGCTCCCTCCTTTACCATTCCTTTCCCTCTGTCCACACATCTACTCAGATTTTGCCATTAAGTAAAAACAGTAACAACAAAAAGCTCTGCTTAATCCTGGTATCCCAAACCCTCTTTCCCCTCATGTCTAGCTTTTTCATTGCCACACTTCTCAAGAGCAATTAATGTGTACTTTCTCATCTCACACTACCCCTTAGCTCAGTGCATCTTGGCTTCCACAGAGACTGCTCTTTCAGAAGGCCACTCTTCCTCCTGTTTGACATCCCCATTATGTTACTGCTCAGCACTTCCATTTTGAATTTCTCTTGTGCCATGGGTTCTACAAATCCACACTCCCCTGGTTCTCCCCCTGCCACTCAGACTGCTCCTTATGACTACTCATCCTACTCCTGCCTTGTAGGATTTTCCTATATTTCTACCATTAGTCCTTTTGACCCTATGCTCTGTCCCTGCTCAATGAACCCTATCCTCATAGTTTCAACTACAGTGGGGCCTTGACTTACGAGTTTAATTCGTTCCGTGACGGAGCTCGTAACTCAAATTATTCATATGTCAAATCAAAGAGTGAACGAGTGAGACACGTGATGCTGGGCTGATGTTGTGGCATTCACTGTGACGTTCGTTGCGCCAATTAGCGGTGGGGTATCTGAAGCTGGCTTGTAACTCGAATTTTAGCTCGCAACTCAAAGCAAAAAATCGGCCGAGACAGCTCGTATCTCGAAAAACTCATTAGTCGGGACACTCGTAAGTCAAGGCCCCACTGTACATCCTTTTTACAGATGATCCCCAATCACAATATCTGTCCATGAGCTCTACACATGCACATTCAGAACCTACTAGTCATTAATACACAGATATCCCAGGAAGCACTTGAAATCCAGAATCAATGCATCAATGTGACTCTCCTTCTGTGGTTCCTCTCTTGGTTGAAGGGATCATCTTGGTCCCTTTTATCTACAGTAAAGCCTTGATTTGTTCTTCTTTTCTCCTTCTAAAAGATGACTAAGTCCTTTCATTTTTCCACAATATTTTATTACATGTTCCTTCCTTTCTTCCCATCTGACTGTCACAGCTCTTGTTAAGGCTCCCATTTCACTCCATTTGGATTGTTTCCAGAGATTCTTAGATAATAGTAATATCTTCTAACTACTTTTCTTGCTTCCAATTCTAATCTTACACCTTCCCAAATCCATCTGTTTAAAACCTTTCAATGGCTACCAATTGCCTATGGAATCGGGTCTAAACTTCTTAGTATGGAACTTAAGGCTCTATGTTCTGACCCAACCTATCTTCTTTGCCATATTTTCCCTCTAATGACCACCTTCTATGTATACACTGAAAGACCAGCCAAATTGGACTATTGAACAGTCCTCAGAACTTGCTCTGTACTAAGCCACCTACATGCGGTAATTCACAAAGTTCCCTTTAGTTAATCCCTTTTCTCCCCCACTCTCTAGCAAATATTCTACCTATTTTTAAAGTCCAGCTTCAAATCTACCTCCTGTTTGAAATTTGTTACTCCCAACCCCTCCTGGAATTCCTATTTCCCTTCTTTATGATCTCACATCATCTATCACATTCTGCCTTATATTAATAATCGTCTTTACACATGCCCTTCAATTAGACTATGAACTCAGAGAGAGCAGAGATAGAAGCATTTTCAAAGATGTTATTCTCCAGAGCTAAGAAGAGGCCATTTTAGACCATAAGCATTCAATGTGGTTTTATGGAATTAAAATAAATGGAAACCGTTTTCCTAAAATGTTGGTATTTTCCTTTTAAAATAAGTATGCCTATTATCCCATGCAGAAGTTTATTTAGCATTTGTGAGTCTTGCTTAATTGTATTTTTCAGCAAGCTTTCATGGGAGACTTCTATCACTGCCAAAATTCTAAGTTTAATTCAAATTTGAGGACTGCTTATCAGAATCCTGGGGTTCTGCTAAGCCATGTCAAAAGCTAGCCAACAGCTAATTCAGGTAACTTTCTTCAATAATGTAGTCTAAAGGCCCAGAGGATTTGCTCGTATAAAGCCAGAGTGATCACATAGAGCTAAAGATGGGAAGGATGGGCTCATACATTTTACAGGCTTTACTGCCAAGCATAGTTCCATTGTATCCATCCTCAGTATGGCCCTGCCATTCATTTCCACTCTGTTTCAGAAAAGAGAAGCAGGTACAGTTAGAGAGACCAAAGAAATCAAAGGATTACAGGCATATGCATGCATCAAAATGTACTGGCTATCTTTGCACTAGAAAATGCCTTCTGTACCTGGTAAGTTTTATGGTTTTCCTGAATTCATTAGTAATCGGAGCTTTGTACCCTCCTTTCCTCAGTAAGGAGTCTATGGTCTGAATATGGTCCCATCCTGTGGAGAGTAGACCAGATAAAATATAGTCAAGTACATGTAAAAAGCACATTTGGTTAAGTACAAAATGACTTTCTAGAGAGGTCAATTATCACTTTCACCAAATGCCATCAACTCCTTTGGTCCTAAAAATCACACAGAAGAGCTAAGATTTCATCCTGTAGAAAAGCAGGTTCACCACCACACATCTTAAGTTCTAGCTATCCAAGATGGCTAACAACAATGGCTTCTTTATCTCACCCACATTGGAAGGCAAGGAGGCTAGCAGTAACTCCTCAAATCATGTCTCAGTAACAAACCACAAGCATTGTATTCTCTTCTAACAGTGACATCTTTAAAAGGGAGGGAAGAGCCTAAATGTCATTGTGCCACCTCAGTAGCATTTAGGACTCCTACACTTACTCATGGTGATTGCTGTTTCTAAAGGTAACTTCTATCACCAATCAAGTGTATTTGGGTGCAATATTCAAGAGCATTTTTGTTGGTTCTGACATAGAATAGTATATTAATATCTGAGGCCCTCTATCTTTTATGAATGCTTTACAAAGTCAATGGAACTACATGATTAAGACATTTTTGAAAGCAACGTAACAAATATTCATATAGCTGCCTTAAAGACTAACTCTCTTGTTGGGAGTTGAATTATATTAAGTTTTGCTGTTATGTATCTCACATATTTATAAGCTAAACACAGGAAAACCAAATTACAAATAGTTTCTGATGAGACAAGAAGCTCCATAAAGTGAAGAAGATATATTCATTTCAACTAACATGAAACTAGAATTTAGTAGTGGCTAGAAAGGACAAAATACTACAGAATGAAAGTTATTTTGTGTTACAGTGGTGGTTCATAAAGGTTTGTGTTTTATCTGCAAAATAGAAAAACGTCTGTTGACTTGGAAATGCAGACCAAGTATATAAAACACTACTTCATGTATTCTCAATGCTCCTAACCTGCAATCTTAACAGGAGCAGAATGAGTAATGACAACCACCTAAGAATGAAATGTTTGATACTGACAATGTGGCTGACTGTCACACCAAAGGGTTGTTTATACCACACAAGGCTGTAGCACAATGGGATATGGGAAAATGGCTCTTAAAATTTATAGCAAACTGATGCCTAAAATAACACCCAGCTTTTACAAATCTTTGGTTTTTTAAAAGTATACGTTGGTGTGTTTTTGCTATCAAACTTCAGTGCAGAGATTCAACTTCTGTGTAATTAACCGATTTCATACAGACATTGCAGTGGCTGTGACAGAAGTTTCTTATAATTTGACATTGATCAATTATCAGACATAACTGCAAGGTCAGATATTGTATTTCAATTTGTGTATTTGTTTAAATTCTTCACCAGATCATATGAAATAAAGTACAACAATGACCTTGCTCCTTTGCAACCTCCGGTAGGTAGGTGGCGGTGCGTTTTGATCCTTTTTCATTGATGAATTCTATTCTAATGCCATGTACACCCACCTGAAAGAAATTGGCAGTTTTATTAGTACAGTCTTTTTCATAGAAACAGAAAGAAAAAGTTAAAATTTTACTTTTAAGAGAATGCAGTTCTTGCTTTCCCCCTTGGTTTTGGAAGGGCATATCGGTTTTCTCTTTCCAAAAGTATTGACTTTGGGTTTGAAAAGCATTATGATAGCTATGGAGACTGAAAACACTGACCTGTATGTGCCCACCACAAACTGGACTATGCTCTTCTGTTTGGAACCAGAACAACCATTCTGGTGCTGACTCCTTTCCCAAACTGTGTAGTCTTAAAGAGACTAGACAGTTATAATTCAAGTACGGACTTTGGGTTTGAAAGCCATTATAATAGCCATGAAACAGAAAACATTTACTTGTGTGTGCCCAGCATGTGCCAGGCTGTGCTATTCTGTTTGGAACCAGAACAACCATTCTGGGGCTGTGTGTAGAATAAGACATACATAGCCTTAAATTACATGTAGATAAGCAACAGATCAGACTGAAAAAACCAACAACCAGATCCTAGATCATCAATCATTACATATATTTTTTCTTTAAAAAATGTATTATGGTTTAAAGTGGGCCAGTGGCAAACCCTCGCTGTCTATCTGCATCACTGCCTTCACATATTTTTGCTAAACTTAAGAGCAATAAAGATTTCTAATCACTCAGGGCAAGGCATTTTTGCAATTTCTTTTACACTAACCCAGAGACTACTATAACATTTTTATGTGAAACAAACTTTAGGTGATGCCCTAAAAAAGATAGTCTTCTAAGTCAGTGTGGGTAATTACTTGCTAATGTGTTTTAAAAGTAATGTATTTTTTCTTGGATTAGCATCCAATGAAAAGGAATTTGTCATTTCCCCATGTATTTTACATAGAATAGTGTATATAGAGCTAAAGATAATAAAAAGTATGTTTTTAAACATTGATAATAAAAATGAAATTTTAAAAGCTTAACAATTCCATTCTGTTCTCCCAAATCTATAGTTGCTTTAGATCAATGGTCCCCAAGTGGAGTGTGAGGTCGTCCAAGGTACTAGAGGGAAGATGTAAGGTCAGGTAAAACTTTTTACCCAGGAAAGAGGCTTCTTTGCAGAGCAGATGACTGAAATCATAGACCTTAACTCTTTCTGTATGCATGGATGTAAAGGTCTAGAAGAGGAAAAGGGATCCATAAAAACTCCTTTTGCTTCTTCCACCCTTAGTCTGAAAATTTCCAATTTTCCAGGGAATAAAAAGGTCCTCTGGAAAATCCATTTCATTTCCCCCCAGGTCTTTATCCACTCATCCATTAGAGTCTGTCAAATCTTCTGAGCAGCTTTTTTTTTTATTCAAGCCTATCACTGTGGCTATTTCTTCTATCTATTTATTATCAGTATTCTTATGAATCCCCTTTTACTGAAAATGTAATCAGGGCAGCTGTTTAAAAACTAACACAATCAGGCCTCCATGCCCTGTGGGAAATGACTGTGGACAGCTGAGGAGAAATATGAGTGCTTAGGCATTTCCAGGATAAAGGACATCTATGAATCTCCCCAGTGCCTGACACAGTACTGGGACAATCACAAATTGGCAACAGTTTCTGTATACTGACTTTCTGGTCAGTGACTATGAGATTTTTCCCTTTACTAATATCACATCCTTCATAATTTATTTTTAAAAATATATACAGCATAAATAATTTATGCTCCCATCATTCACTGAAGTGAATTTTACATCTCCAACTCAATTTATAAAAATCTGTCATGTTAAAATTTAAAAAGAATTTTGGTGCTTACTAAGGTTTGTAATAAAAACTGTGAGAGAAAGAATGTTTCCCTACCTGTGGGATGAGAGTGTTAGACTAAGTCAGTGGTGTTTAACTGGCATAGGGTGGGAATGGGGGGGGGGGGGGAGTCCCTGCAAAGTTTATCTGAATTTCAGGAGGTTTCATGTTTCAGCAGTATAGGTTGAAAAAAGATAACTCCCTAGAAATTTTTATTCTACATTAACTAGATAATCTCTAAAAATCAGTCGAGCTCTGACAAATTATAGGCATGTATTGAAAAAAATTCAAGGTGATTTAGAAACACAAACCCTTTCTTTATAGGAGTACATTCTGTGGTCTTCAACAAACATTTCAGATATTTTAAAGCCAAATAAGTTAACAGTTAAAAGAGTTACTAAGACCAATTGTACGATATGTGAATAATATCTGGCTAAGAACAAACTGGAAAGACGTGTTGACCAAAATAAAATTTGATTTATTCACAAATAAAATTGATTTACTTTTGTATTTTGAGAAGGCCCCAACATCAAATTTGATATGAAACAAATATCAAAGTTCTCCCATTTTGAATTAGTACCACATTTACAATTTTAAATTCTTTTCTGTGTTCATATAATTCTGAACTGAAAGCTTCTGTAAATTGAACTGTAAGTATGATGATTTTAAAGTAAAGTCTTTGTGAGAAATAACTTATTTCATAGGTCAAAAATATATTCTGCGAAGATATAAAGCCCAAACCAGAGTGACTCATTTTTTCAATGGAATCAGGACAATGATGAGAATGCTCTAAACAGAATAAAAACATAATAGCTTTTTTAAAGTGAATGAGCATGGCTGTGTGCCGTTAAAATTTTATTTATGGACACTAAAATTTGAATTTCATATAATTTTCATGTGTCACAAAATAGAATTATTTTGATTTTTTAACCACTTAACAATGTAAAGATTGTTCTTGGCTCACAGACCATACAAAAACGGGTGGAGGGCTGGATTTGGCCTGTGGGCAATACTTTTCCAACCCCTGGTCTTAATATATACTCTTTGATATTTATTTTTTGGCAATTATGTAACTTCTACTTCATTATTAAGTGAGAACAACAATACAAAATTTTTCTTAAGGCTTTGTCTAAACTGCTGGTGTACCAATTTTTAGGATAAAAATTAAATATACTGCGAGAGGAACTAGCTAAGTTTCATTTATTTCTTGATGTCACTTTTATATAGCTCTCATGCACATAGCAGGGAACACACCTTCATTTCACAATGGCATCTGGCTGCACTTCTGATTATAATACAGCAAATGCAAGTTCACTTGGAAATGTACATTTATACACCCTATATAAATTAAATATGCTACAGTAGGATGTGTAACAGCAAAAGCATGATTTTGAAATTCCATGACTAGACCATTTCTGCTTGGCTTAATAAAAAATGTACCCAATCATTTAAATCTGGCCATTTGGGGTAACATGACAGAATATAAAATGTCATGTAAAATTTAACAATTTACCTTTTCATAAAATAATCTTCAAACTTGAAATCTTTTTTAAAAAATATATTATATTGATTTTTTTATAGAGACAAAGGGAGAGGGATAGAGAGTTAGAAACATTGATGAGAGAGAAACATTGACCAGCTGCCTCTTGCACACCCCCTACTGGGGAGGTGCCCGCAACCAAGGTACATGTCCTTGACTGGAATCGAACCTGGGACCTTTCAGTCTGCAGGCTGACGCTTTATCCACTGAGCCAAACCAGTTAGGGCAACATCTTTTTTATTGAATTGTTATATGGACATACATTATTATAGCAAGAAGATTTAGCAACTTGGCTAATTTTTTAAAAATTTGTTCATGAAATAATAACATCATTTTTGTTAAAACAGTAGCTAAATGAATCTTTTCTTTCTACATTTAATGTATTAGGTTGCTTCCAAGTCAATTTCCCAGCAAAAAAAGAAAGAAACAATCAGTCTGAGACTCACTTGAGTGTTTAATTCAAACCTATATTTGTAGTTTCTAAAATGTTGATCCACAGACCACTTTCTTGTTACACATGTGTACCAACGAAAACAAAAGGCAGAGAATCACTGCCATCCCTACAAAAGGAATGGCTCCTTTTCTAACATTCTTTAAAAATATACAATGTACAGTCTTTGTGCCTCATCAAATGTGGCAATGTAATAAGTACACTGGCTTAGTTCTCCTCCCTGTTCAGCAAGGTCCACCAACTACCTGTTATTAAGCCCTCTCCTTTTTGGATTTCTCCAGGGCTTTGTCCATTGTTTACTCATTCTCCCCTCGACATCTGGGACAGGAACACTTGCCCTTTGGTTTATGATTCAGTCCTACACAGGAGAAGTGGAACCACTCGATGGGGCACTCGTCATTGCCACAGCCGGTCATTTCTCCATAGGAGACCTGATTGCACAGACAGTAGGTGAGCTCATTCGGGTCGATGGGAAGGTCTGCAGGGGATGCTTCCCTCTCTGCTTTGGCCTTGGAGTGTTTCTTCTTCTTGGAGGCCTTTGCTTTCTTCTCCTTAGGCGTTCCTGAGGTGATCTCATCATGGTCGTGATTATTGGCTGCATTCTCCCCATTTTCACTGTTGCACTGTCTCCGAGACCTCTTATTATTTGGCTTTTCTCCCTGTGTGATTGTCTTGTTCTTGCACTTATCCTGGCCAGCTTTGCCACTATGGCCAGTGGTGTCATTGACCTGATGGTGTGCCTCAAAGAGTTCCACGTGACTGTCCACCTGCTTGGTCCTGTTCTCCACCAGCTCCACCATCTGCCTCACAATTGGATCTTCTCGTTGGTCGCCCAGCTCCTGGCTCCGAATCAGGGCTCTCTGGATGCAGTGCAACACTCTCCTCTTCCGGTTGCTATCCATCTCCCGTTTAAACTTCTCATAATACTCATCTAGTTCCTTCAGGATTTTGTTTCCTCCATTCCTCACAGCCGCTGGCCTGTCCCCACGGTCCCTGGGGCCTGGATGGGAGGCATAAATTTCGTCCTAGGTGGAGCCAGGAACTCAGCTAACAAGCCTTGACCCCTGCACTGGGGAGCCGCCATTGCTCTGCCCATAATAGCTTTTTTTGTCACCTGTTGAGCAACTGCATTTTCCTTACTCCTAGAACCACAGATGCCACCAAATAGTCATACTGCGCAATCAAAACAGGAGAGTGGAAAATAGCCTGCTGTGGAGAATGACCAAATCTGGCCAACCTGTGGAAATCACTGGCTTTGCAAATTAAGTCATCTCCACTGAAATGAGCACGAAAACTAATTCTGTACTTTTTGAGGGAGGCATCTGTCACAGCTGCAACTCCAAAATATAACCCTTATGTATAATAATTGAATCTTCCCTTAGACAGATTGGAGGATCCTTCAGCCCAGCCTCATCCCAAGAGACAAAGGCTATTGTAATTATGAGCTACATAAGAGATCAGCTAACTAGGGAATTGGGATTCCCTGAAGCAAACTTACTCTAAAACTCTATCACAGTAACTTTCCATTCCTCAGGATGGATAAGGAGGTATTGGTATGGGAAAACGACATCATCAAACATACCCCTAATTACCATTGCCCAAAGGATAGCCAGGTGGGCAAAAACTGGAGACTTACAAATCTAGCCTTATCGGAGTAGGCAGGTCATAAAATTATTAGAAGGTCTGCGGAAAAAATGCTTTCAAGGTCCATCAGCTGTGATAATATCCATTTAATCAAGACTGTACTTTTGCTAAGCAAAGCTATAAATCAACTAGAATGGTAGTAAATTAAATGTAGTACTTATAGTTAAGAGGATATGGAATTAAACAGAGCTGTGTCTATGTGTGCTGAGGGAACATTAAGACCAGTTCAATAGATTCACATTTCACGCTAAAAAGAAAGCCATATTTATTCTGAATCATTTCATAGCAAATGATTTTTATTAATAGTATTATACAATCTTTTGTTTTTAACATCACCCAGAATGATTAAATATCAAGATTAATGCTACGGCCCTAAAACATATCTTGATTATTCTGGGGTTGATTATTCAGTTTGGGGACTATGCATCCCCAACTGCACCTGGCCTCAGCCCCATCCTCTTTCCTCTCTTGTCCATTTTTCTATTTGTTCACTCCTGTATCAGAGCATGTGGGCACAAAAAAGAGATACATGCAAATTAATCAACTTTGCTACTTAATAAAAGGTTTGGTAGGAGAAGAGATGATAAATAATGGCTAAAATGAAGCTTCTAGACTGTCTGCAGATTTCATTTTTCTTGTTATCTGGTCCCTTGTTAGAAATGTGGCTTCATTTAAAACTACTATACTCTAATGCAGTAATTCTCAACATAGGAGCATTAAAAAAAACCTACCATCATCCCACACTATTATAATACATGGTCCATATTATGCTCCTCACAATTACATAGTCAAAGTCTATTATACCCTAGTCTGTCTATAAGGCAAGTATTAGTCCTATAATCTACTAGCAGCACTACACAAGGATCTCACTTTTACTTGGGACCCTAATCTGGATACACTGAAATATGAAAAAGAACCATCTATCTAAAAGCATCAATGAGTATAAAATGTGCTCTAGCTAAGTTGAGTAGGCTCCACCCAAACCTTGGACCATTTGATTCTATAATTTACCTCCACAATCCTGACCCTCAAAGCTAAATCTGCCCCTGATCATATCCTGGTCAATAAGCCCAATTTACGCCCTCAGTTTCATCATGTGTCAGCAAATGCCACAGTTAGTCCCACTCTTCCCCATTTTCAGAACCAAATATTGGGTTTCTCTGTAACAATATGGCCATAGCTCAATCCACTGATTTCCAGTGAGTTCACCTTGAATAAAATGAAAAATACCCTCACCCCCTGTTGTCTGTGTCCATTGGTTAGGCTTATGGGGGGATAAAATCACATATGTAATACCTTAATCAATAAAGAAATTTTTTAAAAAAGAAAAATACCAGGAGGTTAAAGGATCAAAAGCTGTTTGACATGTCTTTGTTGATTATATCATTTGGCAGAATATGCTTTGCAATTAACAAAGCAGTCACTGGTCATTCACATAAGACTGACTTGCCAGGTTCAATACGCCTGTTCCATTGAATTGAATGAAAGGGCTCTGTTCCTAAGGAGAAGAGCTCAGGATGTTTGACACCCCCCACCCCGCTAACATTTAGAGGCTGGTGTCACAGAAGACATCATGCTCTTTCATAAAACAGCCCATGGTACTAGACAGAAAAAAATCACTGCACTGAACAGTCCATGGGTCTGACCCAGAGTCTGACGTTTCTTATATTCTTAGGAGGAAAGAGCCATGTGGCAATTCTCCTAAAAGCACAAAAACTACAACACAGCATGGCCCACTCTTTCACTCATAGCCCCACAGTACCTTCTGCCCTACCTCCAGCTTGGTCTTCTGAAGACATTGAAACCTCTTTTTACCAATGAAAGCAAATTCAACATTGAGGAGGAAAATATTCCAAACTTGGGCCTACTCCAAGTTTATCCTCCTGAATAATTCTGATTTGGGCAAGAAAAATTAAGATTTTTATCATATACGCTGATGACAGTTTGTGTAGATTCTAATGAATCACTTTCCCCAATCCTGATACTACCAAAAAAATGTAGACTACATATTGGCCAGATCTGCCAGAGTTATGATTTTGCATCATTTGAATCCGCCCACGAATTTCAGAAGTAAGTCTGATGTTTTATTTTTTTTATTTTATTACAGAGAGGAAGGGAGAAGGAGAGAGAGTTAAAAACATCAATGATGAGAGAGAATCACTGATTGGCTGCCTCCTGCACATCCCGCACTGGGGATCTAGCCCACAACCCAGGCATGTGCCCTTAACTGGAATTGAACCTGGGACCCTTTAGTCCGCAGGCCACTGCTCTATCCACTGAGCCAAACCAGCTAGGGCAAGTCTGATGTTTTGAAGCTGTCCATCTGATTAACAATTAAAACTTAACATTAACAATTATTAACAAAGAACACTTCAGATTCTGGCCAAATAATAAATTTAAAAAGCAATGTTGCTGCAATTGTGTGTTTTTTACTCAGTAATTTTTACTTTTGCAAACCTTAACAATTAGAAACATGGACTATTTTTTTGTTTATAAAAATAGTACATGCATATTATCCCAAATCCCTTTAGAAGAGTAGAAACGAGAAAATAAAAATGACCTGGAATCTTGGTACCATCTAGAGACAACCCTTGCTTTAGTGACTTAAAAAGTAATCTCCTGAAGGACTTGAGATACCATGAAGGACTATATACATAATGTTAGGCAGTTTTTGTCCATAGTCTGACCAGTTCTTGTAGCTGTCCTTGATTTCAAATCTCCTTTAAGTGAGACACTTTTAGAAACAGAAAAAAATATATAAAAATGAATTTAAAATACTAGAAAAATGAATTAAAAGTATAATTGATTGCAATTCCTTCACTTGGGCACAAGTAACCTTTTAATATATCCTACTATAAAAAATGTTTCATCTACCTCACATGAGATTATTTTTTTCTGTTGCTATTTTGTGAAAAACAACAGCAAAGCTCTCATTGACCAAAATACATGCATGTTGCCCTTCTCTAAAACCCTTTCAAATTAGTCACTTTTAGCTTGGAAATTAGTTCAGTCTCCATGGACCAATTCTTAGCTTTTTCAGAGCTTACCAAAGGACCAATTAGTGCCAATTTTGATTCATGTAGGAGACTTAGACATCTTATCTGTCAGGAACACAAGCCTGCCAATTTATTTCACAAAGGCCACTAAACAATGATCTGGATAACATTTATTTTAACCAATAGCAGACGCACAGCTCTAAAATACCTGAACTAGCGAATAATCACCCCCATGAACTTTTAAGGAATTAGTTAAGATTTTAAATAAAGCATGGTTAATTATGAAGTGCTTTGAAAAGCTATTAAACCAAACATGTTTATATCATTTGCAATGAAATAAACTGTCCTTACATTATGTTTTTACAGAGAACCAGTGACAGCTCAAGAGTGCAATTAAGGGGGGGGGGACACATACAATTCTCTGTAATGATTAATTATAATGTGCATTACTTAAAAATGGAACATCCTGAAGCTCTCCAAGGAAAGTTCAGGCAACACAGGTGACCTTAAAATAAAAAAGCCTGCTTTTAACCAAAAGTTAGAAAAATGCATTCCTACCCCCACCCCGTTTTTTTTAAGGGAATGAGGAAGGGAGTGAATTTACAGACAAGGAAACTAAAGTTAGAAAACTTTCTTAAAATCTAGAGATGTGAATTAGTTCGCTTTTCAAAGGCTGGGGGAAAAAAACACCTCTTGGCAAATGTACCTAATCTATATATATAAAAGCCAAGCGACCAGAACAACCAGTCGCTATGACGCGCACTGCGGCTGGCCAACTGGCCCAATAGGGGTGGGGCCTGCCAGCCAACCTCCCATGGTCCCTCCCCCCTGCTGGCCCACCCCCGACTGCCCCCCCATCAGGGGTGGGGTCAGCTGGCCAATCTCCCATGTCCCCTCCCCCCACGTGTGCACAAATTCATGCACTGGGCCTCTAATCTAATTTAATAGAGGAATATGCAAATTTGTCCATTACAGCATCACATCATGACCAGATCATCAGGCCGCATCCCCGCCCTCTGCTCAGGCAGCTGCAAGGCCCGGGGTAGGATAGGATACAATAGGAGGGGATAAGAAAGGAGAGGGAGAGGAAGGCAGGCCTGCATGCAGACAGGCCTAGAAGAGAAACAGAAATACAGAAAGGGAACAAGAAAAAGATGCAGGAATGGAAAAGGGAAGGAAACTGCATGCGGAAGGGGGTGGCAACCATGGGGGGCGTGGAGCAGGTGCGCCCAGCGAGGGGCGGAGTGCAGGCAGCGAAGAGC